ATCCATTCTTTGGTATAGATAATTAATGTTTTCTTTATTTTATGAAAAGATGCATTTTGGATAATTTGACAGTTCAACATTGTGAAGTGCAAAATATAAGGTCCAGATTGAACATCTGAAAGATTTAAAGCCTTTGAATAAGTACCTGCTACATGCCAGGCACTATGCCAAGTATGGATGACACAAATATGAATGAGTTTCTTGCTCTCTGACCCAGATACAAAGGCAAATAACTATGAGTTAGAGCGATGTGAATGCTGTAATAAAAGCATTTGTAGACATTGAAATTGATTGACTGGGGACTGGAAGATGGAGAGGTGAAAAACTAATAAGAATAAAGAACACGTACTTCACAGGGAGAAATAACATGACAGTAGTAAATACATATTTTACTGTTTTGACATTTGTTCAAGAGTTTCAGGTATTCAGTAGTCCTCATAATTTCCCCAGCCTAATCACAGAGGTTGCAAATAGTGTATCCCCAAAGTGCCCCAGTATCCAGAGGAAACTAAGTCACAGAGTTCAGCAGCAGTATTTGGGTGGGATTTCTGTTTATCAATCACTTAACAGTGTTTTGTGGCTTCACAAAATTTTTAAAGGGAGCCACCTTGTTTTCCAGATGAAACAGAGAGAAAAAGAGTGAAAAAGGGGTCTCAGAGACCAGAGGTATATAAAACACAGCTTGTATAGCTATGCTTTGTAAAAGGAAAAAAAGGGGGGGGGAGAATTCCATAAAAAAGAACAAAAAAAATGACCTTTAAAATATTTATTCAAAAAAAAAAGAAAAAAAGAGTAGGCAGTATTTAGATGGAAATTGAAGTGCTCACAGAATTATAAAAATTTCAATTTCTTTAAGACCATTCTTGTAACAATCATATTTTGAGAAGTTTCTTTTCTTAATTGACTAAATTTAAGAGGCTTATAATAAGATGTACACTTTCTACTTTAATTGTTATTTAAAAGCACTTTACGATGTTAACATAATTATGTAATTAAAATCTTAGTTCTTCTATTACCCTTCTAGTTTTTCTAGCACATCAGCATTTTTTAAACTGTCTGCATGCTAAATCAACAAGAAATTTTGATAGGACAAACTCTGTGCATTGTAAAATATTGTTTTGAATGAGAAATTCAAATATTTGTTGTTCAAAAATAACTATTTCTTTAAAATTAACATTATTGCAGGAAGAAATGCTATCAGGAACAAAACATTGAGTAGTATCAATTTATCACTCAGAAAACTGAAACATCCAAAGGCCAGAAAAGTTTTATATGAAGCATTATTATATTACTATAAGAAACTTTCTTGTAACTTTTAAGATTTGTGCATTATGTTTTGCTATGCTTATTTCAGCAATTTTCATGCAATCTTTTGACACACCAAGCATCATTCCCATTTAAAAGCACTAAAGCACAGAAACATATTTAATTCACCTTAAAGTCTTTCCATAATAGGATAGACAGGCTAGGATTATAGATTTCTCAATCCTGGCACTTTACTTTA